GATAATATACTAGACCGGTTTTAATAGATAAGAGGAATATACTGGAGAATAAGCCTACACATGGGCTAAGACACGTGGCATGATGGTATTGGTCAAGCCCAACTTAGGCCCTAAGGTACACTCTCCCTATAAAAAGGCCGGCTAAGATATCTCATTAAGTCATTCTCTTTTCATTCATTACTACACTCTCGTTTTGGCGAGTTGTAACTTAGGCATCGGAGGCCTGACGCCGGGACTCCTCCCGGCGTTGGGTTTTTCCAAGTTCGGAGGCCGTCCGAGTTGAAGGAGCTGGGTGAAGGGCATTTCGCCATTAGCATGTGTTGATATGTGGATTTGTATCAATGGTTAGTTAGAAAGTATCTATAGATTAAGGAAATAAAACTGTGGGATAATAGGAGGTTCTTTGGAGAATGTATGAAGTTTGGATTTGATACACATCGGCCAGTGAGGATTTTAAGGTCGGGCCCTATCCTTTAGGCTTTAAATGCCCGAATTATTTATGAATGATCACTGTTTATTACAATGAATGTATAGAGAGAAATTTTTAAGAGAGTTAGGAAGATTTTCCCAACCTCCTAATAAATGACAGCTAGAACTATTTATAGCTAAACATCCTCGACTATTGTTCATCTGCTGTTCACCGGGTCACTTCGTACAGTAAACAGGAATAGCATGCATTAAATGAAGTATTGCTGGTCTTAAGTGATGATTAACAAACATTTAATGCTGATTGACGGGCCTTTAATGCAAACATGCCACCCTATGAGTCTACGAGTCGTAGGTTTGCAGTTGGTGGACGTCCCATCAGTCATCATTGGCTGGCAAGCCACACTATCTTATTGATTCTTGACTCTGAATGCGCCTCGAGGTCCGACCTCCGGGATCTTTGAGGTCGGACTTCAGTCTCGACTTGAGGTTACATCTCTTCCCTCTTGTAATGAGCTCGGACTCTCTCATTGCCTTCCAACTCGAACTTTTTCCTCGTCTTCGAGCTTGGACTTTCTCCTCGCCTTGTTTGTTTTTTCTGTCGTCTGCCCATTTCGAAGCCGAGGCCATATACAGTTGGGAGGACCGACCTGGACGTTGGGTCCTGGGCGACCGCCTTAGAAGCCGTTTGGTAAACTTTCGAGGATTAGTTTGATAAGTCGCTTCTTTAAGGGTGTTTAGTCCTAGATTTATACTTTCCAACTTAGATGCCAACAACATGAAAAATTTGGAGTACAAATCTTCTTTTACCTAGGTTACTCTTGCTTGTTCAAATTTGTGATTGATGAAAATATGCATTAATTAATAAAAATCAAGCATTATATGTTGAATATGAAAAAAATAGACAAAATCTACACAATAATTAATTGTAAACAAAATTATTAGAAATGACACCATAACTCTCTGTGTTTTGGCAATATTTTCTAATTTCATTGGTTGGTAGATTTTTTGTGCAAATTTAGAAATTTTATTTTATTTTTAATTTTATTGAATATTTCAATATATATTTTGTTCTAGAGGCTCAATAGAGATCTCGTTGTTCATTGAAATAGGTATTGATATTGTTACCATTTTTTTAAAAACTTTTCCTCATTTCATTTAACTTCACAATTGCCTAGCCCACCTGGCACAGCCTTATCGTTGGAGCGCCTAGAACGACCACCAAGGCAAAAGTCGTGGCGTCTAGGCAGACTTTTGGTACAATGATCTTACCGCGTTATATATTCAATGTTTTATTATGAAATACCCATGACTAGTGACTTAATTAAGAGCATGACTTTAAATACATGATTTGTCTACAATCCCGTAACGGAATGATTCCGTGCGAAATTTTAGCCATCAGATAAAATAACTGTAGACAATAACTGTATATCTGATGGCTAAAATCTCTCACGGAATCATTCTGTGATGGGATTGTAGATAAATTCTTAAATGCATATCTTATGATTGCCATTGATTTCAAAATCATGTCTCTTGGCTAATAATAATTTAAAAATTTTATCATATGTGCAAAGAAGTAATAAATGCAGACAAAAAAAATAAAAATAATGCCTCAATATATTATAACTTCCAATAAAATGTATGTATAAGTAGAAAAAGATCCAATGTAATCATAAGGCGTTTACAAGATATCCAAACGAATATTGAAGGTATCCGATAAATATGATAGAAAATAAAACAGAAAAAACGAATACAATGTGTGAGAGTGGTATTCATCACATGATCTCAACTGCTGTTAAATCCATTAATCTAAAATTCTAAAGGTCCATGAGTTAGATTTCAAGTACAGCTCGTCTACTGTGGGTGTTACCAAGCTGGTTTTCCCTCTTGAGCGCCTTGAATTTTTCGGCCAGCTCATCGTAATCCGGAAGCTTCGGGTGGATATGGCGACAATTGAATGAGATTAGGCTTAACCCTTGCTGCTCAATTACACTCTCTTCACCTTCCTTTTCACTAGGCATTTGAAAGTCCTCGTCGCTATAGTATTCTTGTCCGGTGAACTTATTTATATTACTATTATTATTATTATTATAAATTTCAGGCGGCCACCCGTAACATTCTTTCTCATCGTTCACGAAAAGCCTGAACACAAACAATCTCTGGTCTTTGGCGGGCAAATAAACAAACTCCTCCACGTCATCATCTTCGTGGTGGGCCCCACTTGCAAAATTATTGTCGTATTCAAGGAGCAGTGGTCCTTGCTGCATGCAATCGCTTCCTATTTCTGCCAGCAATCTGTACTTGGACTCGTCTGTAACCTTTTTCCCCAATAAATGATGATCTTTTATCTGCAGCACAAGGAAATTCAGTCAGTAGAGACTAAATAAAAATAAAAATAAAAAAAATAATTAAAATCATGAAATTAATTAAAGTTGATAATATATATATTGTACCTGAAGATTGACGAGATTCCCCGGAAGTAATTCGAGTGCGGTTTTTACAAATCTTTGGCCATACCGTTCTCCCAATAGCTTCCTAATGGGCATGAGTTCCGGAAGTTCAGCAAATCTTGCTGATGAGTAAATCAGAGTTGAAGCTGCTTCATTTATGTCGTTTGGGCAGTCCCTAAATTATTTCACTCTCCAATTAATTAACAAATTGCAACAAAGAAATATTACATTTACATATATAGTCATGCACACACAAGTGACATATATACCTGCATTTGCGGATGTAAGGAAAACGAGAGATTAGGCACTCGCAATACAAGTCCAGCAGATCATACACTTGGATCAGACTCTCATCCCTCATCACCTGCTCAACCTGAAAATATATCCATCCGTACAAAAATCTTAAAACATTAGGCATAAATTTAAAAAAAAAAAAAAAAAAAAAAAAATCAACATGCAAAATAGAGCAGTGGGTACCCTTTGAAAGGCAATTTGATGATGGCCATGTTTGAGAAGCTGAGCTAAATCGTCTCTAGACTGTCTCCACACACAGCTTCTCTTGTTCTTCACCAACTTAAGCCGGCAACGGACCATTTTTATCAGTTTCTTGCTGTAACAAAATACGTAAATTAATGAATGAGTGAAATTTAGAGGCAAATTAATAATGAAATATATATATCAATGTGATAGTACTGTCGTACCATTTTGAAGCCTTTCGCCACCCAAATAAGATATCAAACATTTCTTGGTGAAATTGAACAATTCGTATTAATTTTTTTAGCTGCGAAAAGAAAACTAACAGTTGAGGAGTGTTATACTTAATGATAATTTTGGGGCAGTTATTTTAGAAGATCATAATGGAAGCTCAGTATTGGGTAGTTACTGCTCCACTAACACCCCCATGTAATTTAATCACGTCCGTCCCTCTGTTTTTTTCTTTTTTACCTTTAATATAACTATTATTTAGTGTTTTAAAATACTATTGCGTGGCATTTTGGTTGTTTGATTGCGTAGCGTTTGAGAATAAAAAGTTATTTTAAAATGATGTTATAATTATTCATATTTTGCAAAAATAAATATTTAAGTTATATAAAAATTTTGCATACAAAATAATTAAATCTAAACAATAATATTCTAGTGTTATTAATTACTCATAAATATATAATATAAATATCTTAATATGACTATTGAACAATAAAACTTGTAGTTCAATTTAATTTAAAGTATCAAATCAATTGAATAAGGTATTAATGTAATTTAAAAAAAAATAATTTAAAAGCATTATTAAACATTTTAATTTTTTCATTATTATTCAAAACAATGAGCTTAAAATAATATAAAACAAGTTTTTGATCATTTTGTTCTCGTGTCTATCGTTCTGGCAAAAAAAAAGATCATTTTATTCTTGTGACAATTTTTTTTTTTTTTTAAACGAAACCACCCAGAAGGGTGGGGGGTTAGACCAGACCCCTAACCTTTATATATAAAAGCCCTAAATGGGCTGGAAAGTCACAGATCTACAAGTCCAATATCTGAAATACAACAAGTCAAACAACGAGGAAAGTCAAGAAAGGAAAAGCAACAATAAAAAGCTGCCAATAACTGCCAGTAACACAGCTGTATCGTCTCCTGGTCCGGGTATAGTCCAGGTAAAAAGTCACGGGAGGTCGGGTGCACCAAGAGGTAAGACCGGCAACCCAAATCTGAATTAAGGGTATCCCATCTAGTCCATCCGTATAAGGGTGCGGAGGCGAAGAGGAATATCGTCAGGATAAAGAATGCGTCTCTGGGGGGTGGAGGACCCGATGCCTGCGAGGAAGTCAGCAGGGCGGTTCCCCTCACGGAAGATGTGCGAGATCTGATAGCGAATCGACCGAAGTGTGGCCCTAATACGCATGAGCGGATGCTGAATCTGCCATAAGAAAATAAAATAAAAATCAAATAAAATGAGAGAAGTCCAGTTCTCCACGGCTCGGTTTCGATGGCATTTTTCTTCAATTTACCTCCAGCAGTTCTGTTATCAGGGGGGGCGGTAGCAGCAGAATCTTGAATATTTTCACCATCTTCTTTCTCGTCCGCATCTTCCTTCGATGGAATAGGACCCTCGGGGGCTGGGAGCTCCTTACCACTCCTCAACCTGATGGCGCTGACATTCCTCGGGTTCGTCTCTGCTTGGGACGGCAGTTTGGAGTTCACTTGCGACTCCAACTTGTTCACGTGATTCGACAATGAAGACATTTGCCCCTCCAAGTTCTTAATGCTGGACGCCATGCTCTCCATCAGCTTCTTCATCTCCGAAGATGAATCATGCGGTGGAGGGTTAGTGTTGTGCTCCCCCGTGCCTTGGTACCGTTGGTAGCCTTGTCCCCTTTGAAAGTTTTGGGGCTGCCTTCGGTCTTTCTTCCGAAATTGATTGCCGCTATTATTTTCCTGCCTCAAATTCGGATGATCTCGCCACCCCGGATTATAGGTGTTCGAGAATGGGTCGTAGTTACGTCCGGCACCATTGTTCGCCCCAACTGCATTGGCCTGTAGGTAAATTAAGTGTATAAAAATATACTATTAAATATATAAAATACGCACATTTTTCGACCTATCAAATCTCCCCAAACTTAAACTGTTGCTTGTCCCCAAGCAACTTAGAACTATAAGCATATAGATGGATATATGCATGTACGTGGAATTATTGCTCAGGTCCTCACACATCTCACACAATACATAGCTACAACTTTCCAAATTAATAACCCCGAACTCGAAATGAAATCATCTTTAGAACGCCAACAATCAAATATCAATTCAGTGAATTACCGCAGCTCATCAATCTTTTCACCGAGTATACCAATCATGCAACTAACGACATCCCTTTCTTTGCCAACCAGTTTAGTTCCTCTTCGATTCTAGCCAGAAATCAAAAGTCTCGATATTTTTTTTCTATATTTTTTTTTGGGAACAGCAGCTCCGTCACAAGTTCATGGTATTTAGCTATTCATGCGAGAGTTATGCACCAAAGCTTCAGCAGCTGTTGCAGCCCACAATCATTTTTTTTCTTCTTCTCCTTCCACAATACCTATTATTTTCTCCTCCACATTCATTATTCACACCATCTCTATCTTTTTTTTTTCTTTCTTATTTTTTATTTTTATTTTTTTCGAGACAATCAACTCCCAACTTTCCACGTCAAGTTACCTCAC